AAATTTCTCACAAAATTTCGAAAAAACAATATGTTATGGAGAAAACTAAACTAAACAACATTTATTTGGGCACTAAATCCAAATTCTTTACGAAATTTGAATTAAACATCAAATATAGAAAATAAACACTATGATAAAAATAAGAAAAAATAAAAAGAGAATTAAAATGAGTGAGTGTGCCAGCACCTTTTCGACACCGCCATCTTTGTCGATTTTTAACTATTTTTTGGCATTGACAAATGCCATGAAAATTTACAGATATGTATTTTACATAATCAATAACTCATTAAAAAGTTTTCAAAAAATAATAAGATTTTTTAGGCCCCAAAATAAAGTGAAAACAAAAAGTTAAAAGTGAAAAAAACCAAAATAGTGAGTGGGCGAGCACGTTTTGACACCCCCATCTTTGACGATTTTTAATGTTTTTTAGGCTTAGCAGAATGGCTTCAAACTTTATAGGCGCGTAGGTTACATCATAGAACTCACAAAAAAACATTCATAAAAAAAAACTTATTTTTAGGCCCCAAAACATTTTTTGGCGGGGGCCGAACTTGGAGGTGTTTGGCCCCCGAACGGGACCCTGAATGCCCGAACGTTCGGGGGCCAGCCCGGGGGCCCCCGAACGTTCGGTCAGGTACCCTGTATATATATATATATATATATAGGTACTCGTCCGTGCAGCTTCTAGAAGACCAAATTAATTCGCAGTTTTTGTTCATCCATCCCAGCGAGGTCGGAACTGATCCACAACTGCGAGTTAGTTCACAGTTTGCGACCTACAGTGCTGAAGGAGTTACAAGTGCGAGTTAGTTCGCAGTCTCCCCAAGATAAGACGCCTCTTTCTTGAAAGTCAGTTCTTTATTTCCACAACTGCGAGTTAGTTTGCACTTTATGACCTACACTGCTGGAGGAGTTGTTGCCCTCCGTATCCAGAACTCCGAGTTAGTTCGCACTTGTAGACATCCATGTCGGACGTGTTTCAGGTCTTAATTTCGACAACTCCGAGTTAGTTCGCACTTTCCCCAAGATAAGCCGCCTCTTTCTTAAACGTGACTTTGTCGTTTCCAGAACTGTGAGTTGAAATTGTTGTCTTGTCTCCAGAACTGCGAGCTAGTTCGCACTTGTCGATACCCATTCGGTATGTCTTGTAGAGGTCTTCATTCCCAGAACTCCGAGTTAGTTCGCACTTTCCCCAAGATAAACCGCCTCTTCCTCATTTCTAGGACAGCGAGTTGGTTCGCACTCTTTCCGAGGAGTTGTTATCTTTCCTCCCAACTCACTCTGCCAGAGGAGTATTGTCTTTCCTCTCCTTTACCCAATTGTCGTGACTTCGTGTGCATTTCAAACACCCATCTCGTACGTCGTTTTGGTCCTCCATTTCGTCAACTCGGAGTTACTTCGCACTTTGCTTCTGTACTCTTAGAAAAACCTCGTGGCTTTCCTCCCGGTCATCCGATTTGGTCTAGGGTTGGGCGTAAAATGGCGTCCGCAAAGAATACATCGACAAGCGCTGGGGCGTCTGCCCCCCCAGGAGGGACGAAGTGTTCTGCAATCTCCTCCTCAATATCTTCATTCGAAGGATGAACAATGGTTTCTGGACTTCGTTGTCGACGGGGACCTTGTTGGGCCAGCTGTTTTTATGCGGTCCGCTGCCTTGCCGGACGGCAAAGGAGCAGACCACCTCCATCTTGTCAGTACCGTCCTTTCATCCCTGAAACAGTCTGGAGGCTTGCTCAAGCTACAGACTAACATCTTCTACGACCAGTGCAGACTGCCTTACAAAGGTGTCAAAACTCAAGGGTGTGATAATGTCGATCAAGCATTTCGCGGGGTATGGCTCGAACATGCTTCGCTGTCATCACTTCAAAGGGCTTTACGATAGCAAAAGCAGGCCTATTCCACCTCCAGTAGAATATCTCGATCTTGCGCTAAAGGTGCCAAAAGAGCGTCCGATTCTTCTGGGAGAGTATGTTTTCCGGCTTCTAGCAGCCCCTGAGGGGTCGTTCTGCTTACCTCAAGAAACCCCTCTGACAAAAGAGGGTCAGGGCGTGGGGCACCCGGGCAGGAGTTAGCTGAAGATCGGCACGAGTCTGTCTGGGTGCACGTCTAGCAATGTCATGCCTTCCTTGACTTCTCCAGATGCTGGGACTCATCGGGTCGCCACACCGAAAATCCTCAAGTTTGTCTGCCAGGGTGGCACGTATTCGCTTTGGGATGAGGCGAGAAGAGAATCCGGCAGTTCAGGACAAGAGGTTGGAGGGAAGGAGGTTGGAGGAATGGGTGTTGTGCGTGACAACTCTGGAGGGGAGTCGATGTCTTCGGAGAAGAAGTGCGAGCGACAAAAGACGGTACGAGATGAGGTGGCGGAACAAGCCAGACAAATGAAGAGGATGAAAGGACCCTCGGCGTCGATGATTGGCGACGATGAAGGTGACGTCGGGGAACGTGCCTTGGGAAAAAGAACGCCAGGGATGCGTAGCGCACAAAAAAAAGAAGTCAAAAAGAGGCAGTCGAAGCAAGAACCTAGAACAACAAGTAAGAAAGCGAGGAGGGTCGGGAGTCTGACCATCGGCGAAGGGCATGCCGTGAAAGCTATGGGTGAAGGAGATACGACTCGTCACGGCATTGCCGCCGCGGGAGAATCTTGCGAGAAATCTAAAAGGAAACTGCCCGTTGAAGAAGGCGATGATGGCCAGAAGAACTCCCAGAGGAGGAAGACTGGTGAGGGGACGAGTGGTGGCGAAAGGGCAGGTGCTAGGCAATACGACGAAGCGGCGGCGTTTTGGCTTGAATACGAGCGAAATGATGATGGTGACGTCGTGGAGAAGGAGAACCCAATTCAACTCATCATTGACCCGAGGAAGGTCTGCGATATCCCGCCGTGGGAAAGTTATTATAATCACCTCAGTCTCAACCGGGAAAGTGTGAATGCGATGCTATGGCAGTTCCGCGAGGAGAAGGCAAAAATATGAACGAAAAACCCTTCGGTTCTGGCTCCCATCTACAAGTCGGTGACGCAGAAGCCGGAGAAAGCTCAGAGGGTTCACAAGGATGTCTTCAAGCCAGAGGAGAAGGACAAATACTTCTATTACCCCGTGAATGGACAACACACCGTGGCTGCCGTGAAGGAATCCGATGGTGAGTCAATTTTCGATTTGTGGAAGATGCACTCGTAGCCAGCGAGAGTCATGTGGTTCTCCGATGATGACTTTGGGGGGTATTTTCAGGCCAGTCTAGCGGAAAATGCACAACACAAGATGTTTATGCAGCGTCTGCAGAAGGCCACTTTTGAGGACATGCGGGAGGCATGGGAGAAGAATGGAAGACCGGTGGCTGTTCAAGGAAACCCTTCCGGCAAGGAGGCCGAAAAGCAAGCGTTTTTCGAGTTTCAGAAGCTGCTTTTGGGAAAGAGTCCCAACGACGCTCATTGGCTGATGGCACGTAATCCGACAACGCTCGCCGATAAGGAGAAAGTTGCGGCTGTTTGCATTGCATTGAGGCAATGGATGCCGTTCGTGACGGCCGCTGATGAGGTTTTCCATAAAGGCATGGAGTTTTACGGGAAGTGGGCCGAGGGAAAGTTGTTAGGCGGAGACGGAAAGACGTCGTTGTCGAAGCCTGACAAATACATGCCAGACAAATCTTTGGGGCTTCAAGCGATTCCGGGAATGGGCGTGAAAGGGGCAGCTGGTGAGACAAAGATGGGGTGGCTAGTCCGGGTCCCTTCGCCTCAGACGAAAAAGAAAATGCAATTGGATGACAAGTTTTTCGTCGTCGTGAAGGAGTCGGACATGTTCTGTTGGCAATGTCTTGCTGACATGACCGATGACGAAAAATTGTCGATCCTCGAGGACGTTGTTGCGTTTAAGGGAGTGTTCGTGCAACCGGCGGGCGAGCAACTCAAATGACAACATAAGCCGGGAAAGTGGATCGAATGGTGCTCCGCATGTTCCACTACATCATGTTCCTTGAATATGAGGAGGACGCAGAGGTTTAACACTATGGAAGCCAGTTTTTTCGAAACGAAGAGCAGCTTCTGGCGGAGTTTGCGCCGCAGGGCCTCACAAAGCAGGTGTGGGTCGAACTGAGGAAGCATTTCCAAGGCGCGATGGACTACGTCAACACTTGCAAACGTTGTCTACCGCACGAGAAGGAGTCCCTCGACGAAACGAAGAGACTGTACGATGATGACAGGTTTCCTAAATCCTTCGAGAAGTCTGCCCGCTCCATCTTGCGACGAACGGAGGAAGAAGTACACGACACGATCAGGGTCAGCGGGGATGTGAGGCACATCCAATGGCAAAAGCTCAACCGGGTGACCAACCTTATTCCTTTGTCCGCCTTCCTAAGCTCACATTCGTGTCACGGAGATCCGCGAGATTGTGCGACATTACGTGTGCAACTTGTACGTCCTCGATTTGTGTGATCCCACACTACTTTCAGATTGGCAAGAAAGCGATTTCGCCTTCTTGCAAGGGCTTCTCCAAACCTTGTCACCAAGCCAGTGGACAATTGTTGTCTTCTTCCCGTCGTGTTGGGAACTCAGTTTCATGAAAGGCATGACCAAGCTTAGTGTTCACCACGTGAGGACAGGGAAGTGGGTGCGCTATGCACAAAGGAAGGTCATAGTCCGGGAAGGCAATATGCTGGTGGACGAATATGATCGTCTGTACGTCGTTTTCAACGGCGAGAACTTGGCAGACAATATGGTCGCAGTGTTCCCATCCGGTAGTCCATCAAAGCGGCCCCGAGGGAATGCTCCAAGTCCGGGCAAACCCGTGGGGCCGGCCCGCTCGAAAGTTGGTTGTTCTTCCGACCCTTCGGGGCAGGCTGTTGTCTGTTTCGACGTGGCAGGCGAGGATAAGTTCCCTCACAGCCAGTGGGAGGACGGCGGTGTCGCAACTATTCGAGGAGCTGCTTACGGGAACCCGGAAAAGAACCCAGCTCATCTAATTGGTCTACTCGAAAACTTTTGTAGAGTTGGCCAAACTGTTTTCTTGTTTGGGAAGGCGCATGCATCTGTCGTATGGGAGCTCCTGTGTAGCGGTCGGAATGTCGTTGTGTTAGAGGACGAGGCGAGGATGATCGATTACCTTCTCAAGTTCGTGAAGACACACGTGGGGGACGTTCGCAACCATTGCTCTTTTGTCCAGAGCATCGGCGAACGGAATTGGGATCCCAAACATGACATGTATTGGAAATTGTCGGAGAAGAAAAGGATGGAGGTTTGGGATTTCCTTTTCCAACCAGAACCGCCTGCTCAGACCGACCTGGAATACAATCGACGGAGAAACTTGGTGTTCGGTGTGCTGAATGGTTACCACGATGCACCCAGGGAGTCTATCGCAAAGTTCCTGAAAAGGCTGGAGCACGTTTTCTTCTTGATGACAGAACCACTAACCCTCGAGAACTACAAGGCGCAGTTCGACGAGGACGACCCGTTCAACGCTGAAGACATCGAGGAGGTGAGCGACTCCGAAACCTTCGATTTCGAATCCATGCCACTTCCTCAGGTGGTGACACGTGTCGATGATGAATGGGAAGGTGGTCCTCGAAGATATAGCACGTCTCCTGCCGGTTTGAAGCGTGTGTTTGAGCGTGAAACAATCGAGGAGCAATCATCTGATGACGGGGAAGAAGAGAGAGACTATGAATACGCACCTGTAGACAAGCTCCCAAAGGACCATGATACCTGGGAGAATGATAGGCTCTTCTTCTACGGGAAGCACACCGGTTCACAGAAGAGGATATCTGGGGCCACAACGTCATCTGGCACCCCAGGAAATTCCAACATGCTGAAAAGAATGGAAAGTGGGTCATGGCAATAAACGAAGCCGACGGCAAGTGGAGTGCCTTGAAAAGACTGGGAGCGGGTTCATTTGAGAAAAAGGTCAAAGAAGCTCTACTGGAGCATTTGAGTATAGTAAACCGCGAAAGGAGCCCGCAGGACATCAATGTGTACGCAGGCCAGAAGCTCGACGAGCTCTACGATAACAAAATGTTAGAGTTTCGAGCGCCTTTCTACACACTTGAAACGGCACCGTCTCGTGGCATTGATTGACGCATGCCTCAACCTCCTGTCGGTGGTTAGCATCCAGGAGGTGGTGGAGGAGGAGACGAAGGAGACGGCGAAGGTGACGGAGGAGACGGATCAGGATCTCATGGAGGAGGTCACAGAGGAGACGACTCAGGATCTGTTGGAGGAGGCGAGGGAGGAGACAACTGAGGATCTGCCGGAAAGAGGTCATGCAAAACATCGTCGGGAGGAAAGGGGTCCAGCGGAAAGGGGTCAGGCGGAAAGGGGTCGGGCAGAAAGGGGTCGGGTGGAAAGGGGTCGGGCGGAAAGGGGTCGGGCGGGAATGGGCCGAGTGGAAAGGGGTCGGACGAAAAGCGTAGAGCGTTCGGGAGTCGCGAGTCTAGGAAAACTGATAGCCACTGCGTAGGGAGTCGAGATTCCGACATGCGAGACGAGGCCGCCCTGAAGTCTTATCAAGTGCAAGTAGATTCGCACTTGTCTGCGAGGACTTTGTTTCCCAATGTCGAGGAGAGTCCGTCCCACCGTACGCAGCCGACGTCTCCTGTGCACAACACCTTGCTCGTGCGCCTCTTGGAAGAGGGCGAACGTCTGCAGCATACGGCAGCATCTCCTGAGCGGCAAAACCATTCCTTGGCAGGAGCTGCGTCTTCGTTTTGCCTAGAGGCGGAGATGCCTGCATTGCGAAGGAGCGAAAGTGCGACCGTCATGTCCCTCAGCTCCGGCGAACGCCACAAACTCCGAATAGATTCAGAGTTACTGACGTCGCCCTGTGGGCCTTCCGCATGCAGTGCTCGCCGCAAAGTCCGAATAGATTCGGAGTTACTGACGTTGCCCTGCGGGCCTTACGCCAATAGTGCTCCTCATGCTACAATTCTGCGGGGCCGAGAAAATGTGAGGTCCAACACCCCGCATCTTCAGTTGGGCACAATGTTCCCCTGCTCATCGTCGTTCTCATATGCTGAGACTCAAGACTGGGCAGTCTCGCAAAGTGTTGGAGGGGCCCACTGCAGGAGTGTTGGAGACTGGGGTAGCGAGTATGAACGCCATGCGTTAGAGGGTGTATCCGTCGACTTTGAGAGCAAGAGTACAGCAGCTCCGGGGGAAGAGAAGCTCTCACCGGGAGCGCATTCTGTACAGCGGGAAGAGGAGACTCAACACTGGCAGTCTCGCAGAATGTCGGAGACCGGGGCTAGCGAGTATGAACGTCATGCTTCGGAGGGTGCGTCCGTTGACTCTGAGAGCAAGAGTACAGCAACTCCGGGGCAAGAGGAACTCTCACAGGAAGCGCATGCTCTGCAGCGGGAAGAGGAGACTCAACACTGGCCGACTCGCGAAGTGTTGAAGGGGCTCGATGCAGGAGTGTTGGAGACCGGGGCTAGCGAGTATGAACGTCATGCTTCGGAGGGTGCGTCCATCGACTCTGAGAGCAAGAGTACAGCAGCTCCGGGGGAAGAGGAGCTCTCACAGGAAGCGCATGCTCTACAGCGGGAAGAGGAGACTCAACACTGGTCGGCTCGATGCAGGAGTGTTGGAGACCGGGGCTAGCGAGTATGAACGTCATGCTTCGGAGGGTGCATCCATCGACTTTGAGAGAAAGAGTACAGCAACGCAGGGGGAAGAGGAGCTCTCACAGGAAGCGCATGTTCTGCAATGGGAAGACGAGACTCGACACTGGCCGGCTCGTGAAGTGGTGAAGGGACTTGATGCAGGAGTGTTGGAGACCGGGGCTAGCGAGCATGAACGTCAAGCTTTGGAGGGTGCGTCCGTCGATTCGGAGAGCAAGAGTACAACAGCTCCGGGGGAAGAGCAGCTCTCACAAGAAGCACATGCCCTGCAGCGGGAAGAGGAGACTCAACACTGGCCGGCTCGCAAAGTGCTGAAAGGGCTCGACGTAGGCGTGCTGGAAACCGGGACGTCCGAAGAGGTTTTGCACAGTCGTTCGGCTGTGGCGACGACGCAAGAGGGTGACGTCAAGGGAGGTCGGTGGACGTTTGTGGAAGGCAATGACCGTGGGGAGGAAGGACGTGCGTGGACGTTTGTGGAAGCTCGGCTTCTTGGCGATGAGGAAGGGGAAGAAGAACCCGTGGTGGAAGCTCGACTTCATGGCGATGAGAAAGGCGAAAAACCCGTGGTGGAAGGCGGTGAGGTGGCGGTCGGCATCCAGATGGATCCAGAACCGAAAGATCATGATTCTCCGTCCACCCGTTGCGGTGAAGAACAAGGTGATCGAGCGTCTGTCCTCAGTACCGGTCGGGAAATGGTACTTCATGAAGCCATCGAGTTGGGTAGCGACTCAGCTGCCACCGAGCTCGTTAGCGATTCAGTCGTGGCCAAGGTGCAGAACGTCGAATCCTCAGTGGACGTTGGCACAGTAGCGCGACAGGAGGGCTATTTTCCTCAAACGACTCCCGAGCACGGTAAGATTTGTGAATAGTAGCACTCGCATATCTGTCACAATTCAGCTCTGTGTTCATCCAAATTGATGTGATGGGCTCATGTAGCTATTACTACTTGTTAAAGAAAAACTTGTGGGTTGTTTTCTATGTTTTACAGGTGTGAGTTTGTCAATGTCCCTGCCCATGAAGCCTTCAAAAGCCGTGTGCGGGAAATGTTTTTCAGGGAGGTCATTGGCTGCTTTACCGAAGAAGTCGTCAAGTGTAGGGTCGTTTAAAAGGGTCCAGAGGCCTCGCCTTTCCGAGAGAGCTGTCAGGGTTTTGAAGGCTTGTGGAATAGCTAAGGAAGAAGCTTTGCAAAAACATGTGGCTGCGTCTATTGAAAGCGTTTCTGCTTTGTCTGATGGGTCTGATGACGATGCCAAATGGGGTATCGTCAAAGACCCGTATCCTAACTATATCGCCAAGGACACATTCAACAATCGGGGATATAAATTTTCTAGAAAAAGGGCACACAGTTCTTAACCAATTCGCCCCAGTAATTTGGTCGCTCCTCACACTTGTTCATGGGTGTTTATGCAGCTGGGGCTACGTCATCCTTTCGCGTTTTCTTGCCTACTAAGAAGCTAAGTGCTACAGACTTGAGAATGTTGCAGGACGTCTGCGGAGATTTCAGCAATGACCACGAGGTGGTTTCCTCGATTCGCAAACGGGCAAGTTCTATTCTGTTGAGCAGAAAAAATCTTCAGACTCTTGTCCACGGGGGATGGCTTTCTGACGAGGTGGTGGAGTCCTACTTGGCCTTGCTTGGCACCGCTACGTTGCCTGGGTGTCCCTCTGTTTATATTTTCAGTCCGTTTTTCTATACCAAGCTCGTCGGTGGCGGATATCAACATGATACGGTTGCGAGATTGACAAAAAATGTAAATATTTTTTCGTACGACATGCTAATGATTCCTGTTCATAAAAATCGAGTGCATTGGACCCTATTGTGTGTCTGCGACGGACGGATGGAGTACTACGACTCCCTCCTATAAGACGATGACGGTTTTTCATCCCATATGTTTCGCAACTTCACGAAATACCTCACTGACGAAGCAGTTTGTCAACTTGGTCAACGCGCGAAACTACTTCTCCCGGACCCCAAGGTGGTTGTTCATGGTGTCCCTCAGCAGTCGATCGGGTCGAGCGGCGGTGTTTTCATGCTCGCCTTCGCTTCTTTTATGGCACGCGGCTATCCGCCACCATTTTCGATAGCCCAAAGCGACATTCCAAACATCAGATTGAGGATTGCGGTGGACATACTCCAAGGCTCAGAATAATACCCCTATGTTGAAAATACGCAAAGTTTTTTATTCGCAAGGCCATAAGCAGAAGTGCGAATCTATTCCCACTTAGTCTAATAGTCGGCCGGTTCGAGCTATGGTGTTGTTTTGATGAGGTAGCGGATTGCAGTGAACGTTTTGATCAAGTACACTCTTAGGTGTCGATGTGAATATCCCAACCTTGTGTTGTAGTACTTTTTAAGGGTTTTTCATTTCGAGGAACCTGTCAACTTTACTCGTAGGACTTTCGGCAGCGCCGTGCTGCCTTTGTTTGTTTTCAGGTTATTCTCATTCCTTGTCGCACAACATAAGCTAGAGGGTAGCAGCGGACGCTTAGGTGAAGTAGACGCTTAGATGTCGATGTAAATATCCCAGCCACGTGGTGCAGTATCTCTTAAGTGGATGCTTAGATATCAGATGTGAATATTCCAACTTTACGCTGCCTTTGTTTGTTTTCGGGTTGTTCTCCTTATGTCCTCTACGACCGCGACAGCGCCGTGCTGCCTTTATTCGTTTCCAGGTTGTGCTCCTGCGTTACTCATGGGACATCTTTGTCCTATTGTAGACATTATTTTCACTCATGCTCGTAGGACTCGATACTCTGGTTCATTTAACAAGATGTTGGTGAAGTAGATCAATGATTTCTTCTTGGTCACCAAATTGTTTCATGCTTATCTTTTTCTTATGCGAGACTTTAAAGCCCCTCTCCCCCCTCCCACCCCGACCGCCTAACTTTCACATATTTTGGCTCGCCCCTGTTCTGCATGTACCGCCCCGTTTTACGGTTCACCCCCTCTGTTGTGCCCTCCTCTCCGCAACCACCCTCCTTTTTGTCTCCACTGAATGTTAACTGTTTCTTCCATATGACAATTGCGAACTTATTCTCAATTCGGAAACCAATTATCGCCAAAATGTATGTGTGCTTGAACTTATTTTACGGACTCCAGAAAATTTAGCGGTACAGTAAATGATTACCAATTTTGTTATCGCTAGAATACATCTCATACTGTCCACTAAATGCTGACTGTTTCTTCCGTATGACAAATGCGAACATATTCGCACTTTGGATGTCATACATTTGTGATAAGACCGTTCATGTCCACAAATTTGCCAAAATGATTCCCTTGCGTGTTGTCAACGAAAATTTATTCATAACTGCAAGTTCGGCAAAATGATCATCAATTGTGTTATTCTCAGAATATATGTGTGCTTGACCCATGTGCTTCGACGTTGTTTGTCGCTGAAGGATCGATATGAGGCGTTCGCCAAAATGGATGATTGGCCAAAATTGTTACCTTCTGTGTTGTCACTAGAAGACTGATAATTTATGCAAGTTCGCAAAAAATGATATTTTAAGTAAAGGTCTTCTGTCTTCTCGAAAAAATAGATAAATAGCGAAAAAGATTGTCATTTGAATCATGTCTTGCCGAATGTGAAATTGTCTCTTCTATCTTGCCACAAATACTTCCTTCATAATTTTGATATTTTTCCTGGAACGATCACGAGCAAATCGACGAAGCCTAAAATTTTCAGAATTTTCTTTGAGTTCTTCTAAGCGCGTTGCCACTGTCAAATTGTGAGACTAGGTCCGACATCCAACAACTGCGATTGAGCATCAAAGACTTCCCAACAACTGCTAACCTGCGGGACCTGAAGTTCAATTTCATTTGTGGAGTGCAAAACTTTGCTCGAAATAGATCCAGGTCCAACAGAAAGGTCAACCACAGACCCACCAAACTAGCCCTAGCGGCGGACTTCAGCATCAAAGACTGCCCAAAAACTGATAACCTGCGGGAAACATCAAGGTTCCGTAAGAATGCTAATAGCAATCCGCGCAGACAACCAACGACTGTTTGGCACTTCTTGAAGGTACTCAGTCACCTGACAGTTCACGACATAACTTCAACCTGGCATCAAGGTTCCCTAAGAGTGGTTTTGGCAATCCGCACAGAGTGCCAATGACTATTTGACACTTCCTTAAGGTGCTCTGTCGAGCACCGATAATTGCGAATTGATTTGCTGTTTAACTAGTATCTGTCAATGCCTTTCCGGGTTAAAGCAAGGAGCTCGGACCCTCTCTCTCTCTCTCTCTCTCTCTCTCTCTCTCTCTCTCTCTCTCTCTCTCTCTCCCCCCCCCCCGTTTCGGCATCCGGTCGCCGTCCTCCTTAAGAACCCATCGGAACTCACAGGGGGGGTTATTTCCTGTTGTCGGAGGGAGTGGTGGTTTAAAGCGCCTCCTCACCTTTTTCGACGACTCAATGTGCGAAAGGATGTGCGAATTAATTTGTAGTTTAAGATTCCCTCCTCTACCTTAACTGAAGGGAATTTATGACTCGCTTAGAATGCCTCCTCACCTCTTACGACTACCGCTTCTAAATTTAGAAGCAAACTTTGTCGCACCTTCACAATAACGGTGACGTTACCTTCACGTCCATTATCGGACCATCAAAGCACCAGTAGACGTGGTCGCTTTTAGCCTTCTGCAATTTTCGATGCCTTAACATATCGCTAAAAGGGATGCACGATGCAGTCGTCGTCGTCGCTGTTGAGATTTCTGATGCCCAAACCTTTTCGCTAAAAGGGATCGACAACGGGTCTGCCATGGGTGAGCTAATCCAGTTGCAATCTCGTATGATGCGGAAATGACCGTTAACAAGGAATAATAACCGCTGGTGCCTCTGTCTCTTATACACATCTAGATGTGTATAAGAGACAGACCTTCACGTCCATTATCGGACCATCAAAGCACCAGTAGACGTGGTCGCTTTTAGCCTTCTGCAATTTTCGATGCCTTAACATATCGCTAAAAGGGATGCACGATGCAGTCGTCGTCGTCGCTGTTGAGATTTCTGATGCCCAAACCTTTTCGCTAAAAGGGATCGACAACGGGTCTGCCATGGGTGAGCTAATCCAGTTGCAATCTCGTATGATGCGGAAATGACCGTTAACAAGGAATAATAACCGCTGGTGCCTTTACTGTGAGTTTTCACTCGCCTTTATGTTACGTCGGATGTTAGACCTTGAAAATATATAACGCTGTACCCCTGCGCATTGATTTTATTTCGCTCTCAACTGTCGTATTGACGGATAAAGATGCACCAAAATTGCTATGATTCACATTGCACGATTGGGAACTGTACGATGCATCACATTTGTCAGGCTCAGTGCGGGCAAGGTCCCCAGAGTCTTATATAAGGAATTTTTTGGAGTTTGGAATTGCGTCCTCCAGCTTTGCTGGCAGGCATTACTATCCCGATTACAGCGCCTCCTGACCTCTTCCAATGACTCTGTCTGTGGCATTTCTATCTCGCTTACAACACCTCCTCACCTCTTCCAACGACTAAGTGTGCGAAAGCATTTGGGAATTAATTCGTAGTTTAAGATTTTGTCCTCTACCTTTGCTCGCAGAAATTAGTGACCCGCTTAGAGCGTGTGCGAAAGATTTTGAGAATTAATTCGTAGTTTAAGATTCGCTCCGTATTCAGAGCGTTGGGGTGCCGAGGCTCGGATTGCAAGAAGGCAAAACCAAGCACTCATTTCGGATTGTTCAGTCAACATTTGTAGCGTAATATTAAGTTCTAACGTTGAGGATCTTTGCCCGGCAAAAAAACTTGTAGCGTACTATAATTAAGTTTGTCCGACAAAGAACAAAATGCAATATTAAGGGGATTAAAAGTTTCAGCAGGTGGCATGCAAGAAAACATACTCATTTTTCAAATGCCGCTCACCTCGAAATTAGCCAAAAGGGCAGAATGTGATTTCCTAGGGG